CAGACGTGTCTCATAGAGAATGCATGCGCAACAATTGCTGCGCTCTGCCAATCCAGTGCTTCTTAAAAGAAAGCATTATTGTCTTCCGCGTCGTCTTGCTGTGTGAGAAGATCCTGAAGAAAAAGGAAAGGATTTATGCATCAAAACAACTACATGGCTGGAATGCAAACACTCTCCAACTTAACCATAATCACAGTTTGGCTAAATTAGTGTGGTTTGCACTGTATAACGTATAAAAACTGCAGTTTCACTAAAACTGTATCTCTTATACTGATCTATAATGAAAATAACAACATACCTCCCAAGTGTCCCTATTTAGGAAGTATAGTCCCTATTTTGAGTCTAAATCCCTTTGTTCCTATTTTCTCTCCTAATGTCCCTCTTTTCTAAGAACTCCATGTTGTCGGTGTGTCTGAGTGTATAACAGTGCTCCACAGCAATAATACTCTCAGTAATGTGTCTGAGTGTATAACAGAGCTCCACAGCAATAATACTCCCAGTAATGTGTCTGAGTGTATAACAGAGCTCCACAGCAATAATACTCTCAGTAATGAGTCCGAGTGTATAGCAGAGCTCCACAGCAATAATACTCCCAGTAATGTGTCTGAGTGTATAACAGAGCTCCACAGCAATAATACTCCCAGTAATGTGTCTGAGTGTATAACAGAGCTCCACAGCAATAATACTCCCAGTAATGTGTCTGAGTGTATAACAGAGCTCCACAGCAATAATACTCCCAGTAATGTCTCTGAGTGTATAACAGAGCTCCACAGCAATAATACTCCCAGTAATGTGTCTGAGTGTATAACAGAGCTCCACAGCAATAATACTCCCAGTAATGTGTCGGAGTGTATAACAGAGCTCCACAGCAATAATACTCTCAGTAATGTGTCTGAGTGTATAACAGAGCTCCACAGTAATAATACTCCCAGTAATGTGTCTGAGTGTATAACAGAGCTCCACAGCAATAATACTCTCAGTAATGTGTCTGAGTGTATAACAGAGCTCCACAGCAATAATACTCCCAGTAATGTGTCTTTAAACTATGATAAATGTGTTTAGAAATCAGTCTGTGTAAATAAGATACATTGTTCTTATTCTAAATTACATTCCAGGTTAGCCCCTGCGTAAATTGTTCAGAAGTCCAAGTGAATTTAAAGATAATTTAAAATTTTAGACAAATATAGTTGAACTGTAAATTAAATTGGTAATATTTTCAATTGATCTATTTTAGCTAAGAAATTTGAAATTCACGTCTAATTTACTTTGAACCCTAGGACAACGGACAGTGAATTGGCCGGATGATAACTCTCAGTCAGCTGATGAGTTGAAGATGCGCAGTATATATTTATATTACATCTATTATGTACATCTGACCTTAAGCAGATATTTTTATGAAAAAGAAAACCTCTCTTCACCAGCGAGGAAGGAATTAATATATTTTACCAGCCATCGCTAGCCATGGTAAGGACTAAAACATAACCAAGTTAATAAGGATCAGCAGTTGAAGAGTGCGTAAATGTGTTTAAACCAACCTTGTGTATCAACTATAACTGGTGAGAATTACGTAGGCTGGGTTTACATAGCTGTAAAGGCTTAATGAACGGATTTTGTGTGCGTTTTCAACCTTTGTTATTGTCTTAGCCCCTCTTGATTTTGTTTTTGCAATAAATCATTTTAAAAAAAATCTCAAGGTGAAACTTTTCTATAACCTGCAATTTACTAAAAATTTAAGTGGCTCTCTAACGTGATGTGCTTTCAAGGGCCTTCCAGCTCTGTTTGTTGACAAAACTGATACCCAGAAAGTGACATACAAAGTTTAAGGTCTTCACGATCTGCTAAGTTAGTTGGAAATTCACCCTTTCACGTTGTGAATGCAGCCATCTGCAGAGAGAAGGCCAATATCTGTAATCTCGCTGGCATAGCGTAGGTTAAGATCCATGTATTTTATTTTATCCATCAGCCCAGCACAAAAGCCTCATTCATGTGGATTTATGAGTCATCCTGGCTAGGTTTTTTTCGGAATGTGCACAAATGGGTGGAAATTAAAGGTTTTCAGTGAATTAAAAAAAAATATATATATATATATATAAAATGTGAAAACAAGAAAAAAAAAAAAACATAGCAGACAGCAGAGTGGCTCAGCCAATAAGAGGGAGAGGTTTAATGGAGCGCTCTGGAGATGTACTTGTATTGAAAAAGAGCAGAGATATTTCTCGCTGTACACAAACAGGGGATACATTAAAATAACATTAACCCCTTCAGTGCTAGAGCGGCTGGAGATGCATTTCACTGCAATACATCGGCCACATGGCTATTGCACCAGTAAAAAGGGGTAAACTATTGGTGACTATCTTTGGTACTCCAGTTTTTTCTTAAGTACGTTTCCCCTGATAAACACACAGCCCTATTATTATTATTATTGGGATTTATTTTATTATTATTAATAAACCGCCAACATATTCCGCAGCGCTGTACAATGGGTGGACTAACAGACACGTAATTGTAACCAGAGAAGTTGGACGCACAGTAACAGAGGGATTGAAGGCCCTGCTCATTTCATATAGCGCCACCTTATTCCAGAGCGCTTCACAATATAGTTGCAATTTCATTTGTGCGGAAGGCAGAGGAGAAATGAAAGGAATACTTACCTGAGCTTCTTTCATCTTGCTGCCATCATCTGGGACTGGACCATTATCATCTCCTGGAAGACAAAACATACTGTCCAACAGATTTGGCAGGACAGTCCTCATTTTGGGGAGCTGGCCTGCCATTCCCGGTGTGATCTCTGGTGTCTTGCTTTGGTGGACACCAGAGAAATGTCCCCAACAAGCCCAACACCATGCACATGGGCATTTGTAAGTGGGACTTGCTGGGGCAGCTACCTGTCTTCTCTTTAGGGTGAACTGCAACTCTTTCTTGATGTTCCAACCCAACCTCACCACGCTCACTCTTTGCCTGCCCCACTCATGTGTCTATTCGTATAAAACAAGGGTCTGTGTGAGGTCCTACAAAACCGCAGGATCCCCCATAGATCTTCTTGAGTTTCCATGGTTCCATGATCAGATGCACAACTTGCAAAAATATGACTGTTTCATCAGCCATCTTAGTGTCGTAATTAGTTTTGACTCTCCCTCTCTCTCTCTCTCTCTCTCTCTATATATATATATATATATATATTTATTTATATATATATTTAAGGAAAGCGTGCTCTAACATCCTTACATAACTAGATAAATGAATGAGTGTGTATCTATATCGTAGAGATTTGTTTGCACATATTTTTGCTTTTTTTTTTGTCTGCCTTAGGTTTCACCAAACATTGTGAAATGCTCGGCCTGGTTTATATTTGAGGGAGAAACGTGTGGGTTGAAAGTTCATTCAGTGACTTTGCTTAAAATCACTTTTATGAGTTCTTTAGGATTCGCTTCTTCCCCCCACCCCCCTTCCCCAAGTCTCAGTTTAACAGCATAATGTGATTTAAGGTTAGAATATCTTTTATGAGAAAGTGTTCAGCATTCTTCGTGGATTAAATTACAGTGTGGATTGAATTTAAAGATCACTGACACAAATGGAGAGAGAGCTCCACTCTTCAATCTCAACTTTAAATAACCTCAGTCACTATCCACTCAAAGGAGTCACTACCTGCAATTAAGGGGGACCTGTAATCCAGATAATAACCGTTTTTTTTGGACTGTAGGTACTCTTCTATCACTGTGATTGTTGTGCATTACCCCTTTGCTGCTAAAAATGAAAGTTAAGTAATGATTACTTACCTCTTTTCTAGCGCTGAGACTCCTGACTGCTGACGTCTTTGAGATCTCCTCCAATCCAGTGCTTCTCAAAGAAAAGCATTGAATTCAAAATAGGCATTTGTGGCCAAAGATGTCAGGAAGATAGCCACTAGAGGTATATTTTAGCCTTCCAAGTAAACATTGCAGTTTGTACAATGTTTTACATTGTGGGGTTAAAATGGCAGAACTACTAACCCCAGACCACTTCATTGAGTTGAAGTGGTCTGGGTGACTTTAGTGTCCCTTTATTGCAGGCAACCCATGGCCCTGGTGTGTATGTGGCCATGAGCACAGCTCCTTCGTATACCCTGCAGTGATCCGGCAGCTGGGATATGATATCATCCTGGCATTCGCATCAACACTGGGCATGCGGGAAGAGCACAGTGATCTCATCACAGCAACAACCACTGGCCACAAGGGAGAGAATCCAGTCCAGCCCTCCCAGAGCAAGGTAGGGAGGCTGGGTGGACCTCTTAATTACTAAATGTGTGTGTGTGTGTATGAATGTGATTTTAGTGTGTGTATGACAGTAATTATGTGTGTATGTGATTGTGTGTCTGTGATTGTATGTGTGTGAGTCTGTGATTATGTATGATTATGTGTGTGTGTGTGTGTCTGTGATTTTGTGTTTGTTTGTGATTGTGTGTATAGGTCTGTGATTGTATTTGTGTGTGTGATTGTATATGTATGTGTATGGATCTATGATTGTGTTTGTGTATGTCTGTGTGATTGTGTGTATGTCTGTGTGTATGCATGTAATTGTGTGTATAATTCTGTGATTGTGTGTGTGTGTGTGTGTGGGTCTGTGATTGTGTATGTATATCTGTGATTATGTGTATGTATGTGAGTGTGATTGTGTGTATAGGTCTGTGATTGTGTGTATAGGTCTGTGATTGTGTGGGTGTCTGTGATTGTATGTGAGCTCGAGTCTGTGAATGTGTTTGTTTGTGATTATGGGTATGCCAAGATTTAAGCATTTACTAAATTAGAAAGTCCTGAGATATGTTGTCAAGTGAAATCAGTTTGTGTTTATTATTAGATAGAAAATAGATAGTTCAGCAGTTAAATTCTAACCTAGAGATCCCTGCTGTGCATACTCATAGCTCTTACGTCATATTTATCTCTTTGTAACCGTTATTGGCGATAATTGTGATTTAATAAACCTTGTTCAATAAAATCTAAATACTAATTTTTAATGGGTTTTTTTTCTGAGATGTTCTCCTGGTTGGAGCTTGCCATGGTCTCAATTGTCAAGAGTGTTCTCCAACTAAAAGTTAGACACAAGGGATAAAGAAAACAGAAACATTCAGTTAAAGAGAATTGTTTTGCTTGTACAAGTTGGCGTTATCCAGCCTTCATCGCTTGCCAATTATAAATGATCTCTTTGGAGCATGCCAGGCATATTTCCATCCAAGGTGCTGAGAGAGCCTGGAAGAGAAAGGAAAAGTATTGTTTTTTTACTGATTAACCCTTTTGATATCCACCAACACAATGGGGCAGAAATTAAATGGACACCATAGTCCCCAGTTTTAGTGTATAGATCATGCCCCTGCAGTCTCACTGCTCAATTCTCTGTTATCTAAGAGTTAAATCACTTTTTTTCCTGTTTATGCAGCCCCAGCCACACCTCCCCTGGCTGTGACTGACAAAGCCTGCGTGAAAATATGGTTTAATTTTCAATCATATGTGAGAGCACAGTATGTTTAGTTTAGAGGTTCTTAATTTCTGCTCTGTTAATTGAACTTTAATCACACATGTGGCTTCAGTAGACTCTAAAAGGCTATTAACTGAGCAAGAGATAAGAAATTCTAAATTAAACACACTGTACAATAAGGGAGGATTAAACAGTAGATCTCTCTTTTAGGGTAATTATGTTGGTGACAAGCAGGGGAGGTATGACAGCATAAACAAAGTGATCCAGCTACTAAATTACAGAAATTTGAGCATTGAGACTGTAGGGGCATGATCTATAAATCAAAACCACTTAATTAAGCTAAAATTGTTTGGCTGTTAATAGTGTTCATTTAATGCTATGTTTTTGAAACACCAATGATAAAGTTTGGATATTATGATTTTTTTGTGTGTATGATTTCATAGCCCAGAAAATATGGTGCATGTGAAAGTCAGGTACTTAAGGTCTGATCACGACTGCTCGCTGGGATTCTGGGTTGTTGCGTAAATAACATCACAGGAATCTAAGCAGTTCTCAGTGAATTCTGAGTGGCTCTGGACTGATCAAATATATTTTGTCATGTGTTCCATAGCCAGAACTTTTAATAGGGTTTAGAGTTTTACTAGGGAGTAGTGATTGGTTTAAGAGAGGGCAAATCTCAGTAATTTCCCCTGGCTATTAATGATCCACTTCTTGGCTAGAACTTAGATACACTGTCCCAGACTTCCTAAACCCAAAGAGGTCTTGGCTACATCAGGATCATTATTCTAGATATATTGTAGAAATATTGGGCAGAGTTTATACAACGACTGATACAGAGCAGTGTTAATTTTGTCACCTAACAATTTTAGTCAAACTAAAGAGATTTAGTCGACTAAAACTAGATTAAAACTAAAAAATTAAGATGACTAAAATAAGACTAAAACTAAAATCGATATTTAGTCAAAAGACTATGACTAAAACGCCAAAATTAACGCTGCACAAAGAGGCTGTGCAAGGAGTAAAAGAGAGAGACACCTATAGGGGCTGGCAGGACACAAAGAGACACAGAGGGGCTATGGAAGGGGCAAAGGAGACAGACCGGGGCTTGGGAGAGAGACACCTAGAGGCAGTGGCGTACATACCGGGGTCGCATGGGTCGCAACTGCGACCGGTATGTACCCAGTGTGGCCAGCCTCTTCTCCTGGGGGGCCCAGGAGCTGGCAACCTCAGGGCCCCCTGAGGCTGGCCTTGGTATCACCCGGCGGACAGGCTGGCGCGCGTGCGATGGAGCACTCTCCCTGGCTGAGCGCTCTCTGGACAGCTCCCTCGCGTGCCGCATACTGATGCCGGAGCCGGAATATGACATCATATTCCGGCTCCGGTATCAGTACGCGGCGTGCAAGGGAGCTGAACAGGGAGCACTCAGGGGAGAGTGCTCCCTCGCGCGCCCGCCAGCCCATCCGCCGGGTGACACCAGGGCCAGCAACACCACTGGACCCCAGGGAATCCCCTCAGCTCTCCCAAAGGTAAGGAGGCTGAGGGATTAAATAAAAAAAAACATGTGTGTGTGTGTTCGTGTGTTAGTGTGTGTGTGTGTGTGTTAGTTGTGTATGTGTTAGTGTGTGTGTGTGTTAGTGTGTATGTGTGTCTGCTACTGAATGTCAGTGAGTGTGTTAGTTTATGTGTGTCTGTTATTGAGTGTGTGCCTGCTAGTGAGTGTCAGTGAGTGTGTTAATTTGTGTGTCTGTTATTGAGTGTGTGTCTGCTAGTGAGTGTCAGTGAGTGTGTTACTGAGTGTTTCTGTTTCTGAGTGTGTTTGTGTGTGTGGGGAACCCTCCGCCTCTCAGCTCCGAATGCGCATGCGTGGCAAGGGCTGCGCGCGCATTCAAACCACCCATAGGAAAGCATTACACAATGCTTTCCTATGGACTAGAGTGTCTTCTCACTGTGATTTTCACAGTGAGAATCGCAGAAGCTCCTCTAGCGGTTGTCAGTGAGACAGCCACTAGAGGCTGGATTAACCCTCAGTGAATCATTGCAGTTTCTCTGAAACTGCTATGTTTTCAGCTGCAGGGTTAAAACTAGAGGGACCTGGCACCCAGACCACTTCATTGAGCTGATGTGATCTGGGTGCCTGTAGTGGTCCTTTAAGTGTGCGTGCATCTGCATGCATTGGCGTACATAGCGCGGTTGCAGGGTGCCCGCCGCCATGTGTTGCGGCCCCGGCCCGCGCAGAGTAAGCACGGGGGGGGGCCCACGGATCAATTTTCGCACCGGGGCCCCATGGGTCGTGTGTACGCCACTGCCTAGAGGGGTTGGGAGGACACAAAGAGACACAGAGGGGCTGTGGAAGGGGCAAAAGAGACAGACCGGGGCTTGGGAGAGAGACACCTATTGGAGCTGGGAAGGCACAAAGAGACACAGAAGGGCTGGGGAAGGGGCAAAAGAGACAGATAGAGAATTTAACTAAACCCATTAGATTTTAGTTGTGTTGACTAAAATCTACTGGAGATTCAGTCGACTAAAACTAGACTAAAATTGACGCCAAAACGAACACAGAGCATACAGAGCAAAGATGAAGTCGCTTAGTACCAGGACAGAGCTAAATATTGTAAATTTCTACTTTTCTGTTGGACAGTTTTCCTTGAAATGGTGCAATTTTGGTTTCAGTTTAAATAAGGGGTAGCCAACAGAGACAGCTGTTGTGGAACTGTAACTCCTACAATCCTCTGCCAGCCTAGGGTTACTGTTGACAAAGAATTGTGGAACTAAAAGTCCCATGATGCTTTTTCTGAAGACTCCGCAACACCTAGAGACAGATTTATCTGTTGGCCACTTCGAATCTAAACCCAATCAGCGGCAAGGGTTAAAATAAATAATAATAAAAGGAAGGGGGAAAAAAAACATGACTAATGTGTTTACCAAGATATCAACGATTTCCTTTGCTAAAATAAAACACCAATTTGTTTCTTAGGAATTTGTAGAACATGCACTTGACCAGCCTCTTGGCTGCTGAAGTGCTTTGTTTATCATAGACTTGTTTACCATGGTGATGAGAAACTTTTTTCTTATTGGTCTGGTCTTAATTAGTTCTCCGTACAACGCAGCCTCGCTCTCCTGGAGCGGTACGAACAAAGTATTGATGGGGAACAGATTGCTTCCAGATTTTCATCTCTTTTTTTAACATCGTCCCATATCCCACTGCAGTATCCTCTCCGTGTCGTCACTGCAGAGAAATAGGGCCAAAGATAGTCCGTGGTGTAGTCCAATATAAGTGAGTTTTACACAGACAAATGGTACGTGAGGTATATAACCAAGCTGACAGAGCAACTAATTGCTACAAATGAAGCCTGGTTACGTGGATTAACTCATTCATACTACACTCATACTTCTACTTGTAACGCCAAGTTTCCGTGCTAGATCGTTAAAATTATCACGTGTGGTCGTTAATTTCGCTCAACTTTACACTGGCCTTAACTTGATGTAAACTTGGAAAGACAAGTTAACGACTGCAAGCTCTCAAAACATGTTACAGAAAAAAACAACAATTTTTTCGTACATTTAAGTGAACATTTAGAGTGCCCTGGTTGAGCTGCTGTGGCAAGATGTGTTTATGTCGCCTTAGCAACTCTACAAGGACACTATAAACAGGTTGGTGTTGTCATGGCAACTCTACCAGGAAACTTTCTAAAATGTTTCCTGAAGTATAGAATAAATGTATGGGTTTTTTAAGATGTAGTTTGAATTTGTAGTTGTTAACTTGTCACCTCTACTTAAACGTAGTTAAATTAGGTGTAAAGTTGAGTGAGATTTAGATATTTATAGGGTCCAAGTAGTGTTGCTATGCACGGTTAATTTTGGCGGAAAATTTCAATTTAGTTTTAGTCGTAGTCTTTTGACTAAAAATCCATTATAGATTTAGTTGTATTTTAATCATCTAAATTGTTTTAGTTTTAGTCTGGTTTTAGTCGATTAGATCCCCAGTAGACTTTAGTCGACACAGCTAAAATTTAACGGGTTTAGTTAAAACTTCTATTTGTCTCTTTTACCTCTTCTCCAACCAACCCCTCTGTGTCTCTTTGTGTCCTCTCAGCCCCTCTAGGTGTCTCTCTCCCAAACCCTGGTCTGTCTCTTTTGCCCCTTCCACAACCCCTCTGTTGTGGCGGCAAATTTCAATTTAGTTTTAGTCATAGTCTTTTGACTAAAATGCCATTTTAGTTTTAGTCGTATTTTAGGTATCTGAATTGTTTAATTTTAGTCTAGTTTTAGCCGACTAACATTTTACTAAACTTGTTAGTTGCCAAAATTAACACTGATTGGAAGCATAGCTGAATTGGAGAATGCTTCAACTTCGGCTATTTTTACCTTAAATTTTGAAATTCCTTTTGACTTCACTTTGAATGCTAACGTTAGTAAAGAACCATGAATGTATTGCAGATCCCATTGCAGATCCCACGATGTGCTCTGAACTGCTAGATCCTATGGTCTGCAAAAGGCTTGCAATCTGATTTAAATTGTGTAATCTGTTCTTCAGAGCTTGCACTCTGTTTTAGATGCAACACTTATCAGTAAAATTCTTGCAATCTGTTGCTGTCATTTCCGTTTTCAATACTGGCAGCATTTATAATTAAAAACAATCCCCCACGTAATTATAATCTATCGTGGAATATTCAATACACAGTGTTGCTATAGGTTTTTGCGGATTCGAAGTAACTGTGTCTTATTGCAGAATTCAGACTGCTAAAGGCACTGTGTAGATTTCTCTAGCAATGAAAGAGTCGAGAAATTGCTGGGCTCGATGGGAACATTGTGATCTCTCATTGCCTCGTCCCTTGTATGAGCTATACATGTCCCTTTTCAGAGAAGCCAGCATGATTCAATAAAGACGCAGACTAGCCCCCATCTGGGAGAAATACCGCTTCCATTTACCCAGGATCTGTCTGAGCAATTTAATTCACTCTCTGCAATTTGCATCTGTAACAAAGTCTCACCTGGTTTCTAAGCAACACACCTTAACGCAACATATAAAAGCATGTGTACGCCGCTGTTTGCATTTTCAGTAGATAATTTCAAATATAGATATGAATTCTTTATTAATATTTATGGTTTCTTCTATGTTTTTTTCCACTAAATGTACAAATACCAATTCTTATTTGATTATTTTTTTAAAATAACTTGCTGCAGGTAACATGGGGAAGAGGAATTTAATAGGTTAATCCAAGCACCATGACCACTTCAGTTGTATAAAGTGGTCGTGGTACCAGGAGTCTACACATTCAATGTTTTAGTATAAAACACTTCACATGCAGAGTTTAACCCCTCTGCTGCAGGAGTTATAACCACTACTATGGCAATGCCATTAACCTGCCGGAGTACCAGATGGCTAATGTTGATTGTTGGCGTATTGGATGTCCGACATTAGCACGCTCAGCTTGTTGGTGACTTGTGGCATGGCCTCCAACTCCGTGCTGCCCATATTCCCCCCATAGCCCACCCGTACTTACATCCCTCGCACTCCAGAGGGAGAGTGAATTCAGTGGATGAGGATTGGGCTTCTGGAAAAACATGGCCTTAAAAAAACATTGAAACAGAGGTTAGTTTTAGCTTTATTTAATACGTTTTTAAAAATGTTTCACTCTGTCAATACAAGATGCAAGACTTTGAAAAAATATCTTACCTTCAAATGTATAGCTCAAATGATATTGTGATTTTATTTATCTGGAGCAATGATGTCAAACTCTGTCCCTCTGGATGTTCATGGCCTACAGCTGCTAGAATCATTTGAATGCAACTGATGGCTAGAGAATCATGGTAGTTGTAGTTCAACTCACAATGCACATTGCCCCAGTACAGGCGGCAGTGAGTTTAGGCCTCACGTTGACTCAATTGTATCGCGTTTATGGATTCTGTGATATCCGTGCACCACCGCCACCTTGTCTGTATGTCTCCTGTCAGAGATAGCAGTGGTCTAACTTACAAGTTACACAGATACGTGATTAGGTAATTAATAAGTTACTTTGTATTAAACAACTTCCTGAGGCATCTTTCTCATTCGATTTTCCCCTACGGCTTGTCTGTATCACATATTGTTACAATATGCTCATTTGTTTTCATATCTTGGCAGTACTAAGATGAAAACATACAAAAACATTTCACCAACATGTGTTTTGAACTATAAAAGGGACGGCCTAAAGGCGTTTGATGTCCAGAATGGCTAATATTTTCATTCCTTCAATTTTAACCTCCTCCTTAAAAACAATGTATCCCAGAATCACTGAAGTAAATTGTAATTTGATTACATTAGGGGTAAGCAAGTTAATGTAAGATTTATAATCTTGGGATTCAGAAGATGAACAAACAGGAATCCGGTTTAGGTCAATCATCGTTCTAGAGAGGTTAAGACCCTGGCTGTCTTAGGTGAAGTCATATCCTGAAGATGGAACAGAAGCCAAATAAAATGGTCCATACCCAAGGTGAGCAAATGAGGCTCAGTCTATGGTGAAACAAGGGTGAAACATTAGGAGCAAGCTTGTCGATGTGAAATTTTTAATCTTGGGACTCGGAAGATGAACAAACAGGAATCCGGTGTAGATCAATTATCGTTTCACAGCGGTTGAGACCCTGGCAGTGTAGATCAACCACCGTTACACAGATGTTGAGACCCTGGCAGTGTAGGTGAACCATCATTTCACAGAAGTTGAGACCCTGGCTGTGTAGGTCAACCAGCGTTTCACAGAGGTTGAGACCCTGGCAGTGTAGGTCAACCATCATTTCACAGAGGTTGAGACCCTGGCAGTGTAGGTGAACCATCATTTCACAGAGGTTGAGACCCTGGCTGTGTAGGTCAACCATCGTTTCACAGAGGTTGAGACCCTGGCTGTGTTAGGTGAAGTCAGATCTTGAAGATTGAACAGATTCTAGTTGATCAGAAGAAAAATAAAATGGTCCATACCCAATGAGAGAATAGGGGGCTCAGTCTAGGGGAAAATAAGGGAACATTATGAGGATGAGACACCAGACTAGAATGGGAATGTGGAACTCTAGAAAAACAGGAAATATAAAAAAGATGAGATAGTGATGACACTACTCTGGGAAGTTATGTAGAACGTTATTCAAGTACTCAGATACACACAGATAAGGACAGAAACCTGTCTGGTAAGAATACCAGGTTATTCCAGGGAAACGAGACAAGCGAAGGAACGTAGCCCACAACTTCGAGAAGACCTAAAAATACAGGAACAAAAATATCTGAATGCAGAACGAAGGGAATCCATTTATTTTATAGAGAAATGGCTTCTTAACTTCCATATGTACGCACACTACAGAGTGGAAATAGGCATGGAAACATACTCACAATTTAGTTTTTATGGTGGATACATATTTATTCTTAGTGGCCTGTATTAATTAGCCCAGTGTACCTTGTCATTAAAGGGGGCAGAGCCAGGGACTACATTTTATCTCCCTCAAGAACACCGTAGGCTGTAATCAAAATTACGCATTGATTAACGTAAACATGGAAAAGTCCGTATATACAAGATGCATGCTGATCACTATGACAACTATGCGTTTCCTTCAATCGGTGTCTAGCTTTGCACTTGTATATCTGAATTACCAATAAATAATTTTGTCTATGTCAGTATGTCCGTGACCCTAGAGAAAGAAAGGCTACAAAAAAAATAATAAACTGTAAAAAGAAAAACAGATCTCTTACTCGATCAGGTTAAATGGATAATTTCACAGAGAAGATGAAGGTCAGACAGAGAAGTACTTTCAGTCAAATTATGCTTTTAGCTTGATTAAATAAATGTTACATTCCTTCAAAGAAATTGTTTCCGTGTGGATTTTTTGCAACTTTTCCCAACGTTGATTTGCCTTTGACTTTAATAAAGACCTGTGATACAATACATAGAAGTAGAAATTGAAACATGGACTCTCACAACTCATTGTTCTAGACTTGAGGATTATGGGAAAAACTAAGTTAATTTGCATGAAATGCCCTTTCTATGCCATCAGAGTGAACATAATAATCATGTACTACTTATGCCATTGCTGAAGAAGCCATTTTTCACAATTTAATAGGAATAAAAACACAAAACACACACTTAAATGCTATATTGAAATAAACAAAACAAGGGGGGCGGGGCCTGACAGCCGAGATGGCCGGTGGCATGTCCTAGGAACTCTTGCAACAAATGGCAAATATGAGCTGAAACCGAGTGACACTATTACATTGGAGGCACAAAGTGACCGGGAATAGACACAGAGCAACATGACAAATGAAACGGTACCTGTCCGGCACCGGTGCACCGAGGAAAAATCTCCATCGGCCATGCGGCCTAAACCAGAGCAAAGCCTGAGGTCCAGGAGAGGCGGCCAATCTCCTCGCACGGGACGAGCACACAAGCAAGTGTCTACTACAGCCCTGCTACCTGCCCTCTGGACCGGTGGGGGACATCCCAGTCCTCGCTGGGGGCGATCACCCCTACATTACCGCCTAACCAAGCGACTAAACCTCCAGCCAAACGAGACAAACCGAACCCAGCCAAGATGGCGGCTCAGAAGCAGCCTATGACCCAGCGAACACCTATTAAACCGCTCAGGCACACACTGGAGTTCGTTGGCCGGCTATGCACCTATCTCTGGGCGAAGCTCAAAAACAGGAGACAGACCTACAAGCTAGCGATGAGAGAAGCAAAGGCGTGGATACCCACCTAGTAACTCCTGAGCGGCCTACTGATGGAAATGAAGCCGAGAATCAACATGGCGGGAAAAGGCGCCGGGGCCCTCGGACAACAACGCTCATGACCCCAAGTCTCAGAATAGGACCAACCGACACACCCATCCAACCTACCAATCAGCGGCACTAACAACTCTGAACCACCACAGCGTAAACCCTCACGATGCTCACAAAGCCTGCTACGACGCTCACCAGCCCCACGGGCCGCATCCCAGCTGCACCACCGATGGAAGCACCTGCTGGAAATGCCCTGCGACAGCTCACCAGGAGGCTTGCACACATTCTGCCACGTGGGGGCATCGGCTGAGAAGGGTCAATCGACAGGACTCATGGGACTTTTGGTGACTATACCTATCGATGGGAAACATTGGGACTGCCGCCGGGGGAAGCCGTGGTCACAGAGGGGCTGCCTATGGGAACTAAACATTAAGGCATGTCAGACTCACTGCTTGGCATTTTTTCATTAGAAGGCACATGCCTGGATAATTTAACGCTAAGACATAACCGTTTTGAATCTTTGTTGTTTTCTTTCATTTGTTTCAGGTTCAGAGAAGCTTCCCATTTTATTGCATTGTAATAGCTTTAAACATACGGGAGTATCTCCTGAAATATGAGTAAATAATATGTCTCTACGTGTTCCTAGCCTGGTAGCCACTGGCACCCTATCTGCCTTCCTCCCTAGCCCGCTTACCCAACACTAAAGGCCCCTATGCACTAGCGCAGATCGTGTGCTGTTTTCTGCTGTTTAGCAATAGCACTATATCCGACAACACGCTAGAATGAATGCTCACCCAAGCAGTGTTAGCACTGCAAGCCAGACTAGCAACGTCTCGATATCTAGAATAAATCTTCTGTTATTGCAAGTTATATTATTTATTAGCCTGTATAATGATCTATTGAACAAAGCCTGCTTAAAATATAAAAATGTGCCTGTTAAACATATATCCCGCATGTTACACGAGGAAAAGCCTGTGGACTGCTTTTGGGGCACCTCAGACCTGCTTGTATCGTTCACTATGCACTGCAAAAAAGAACAGAAAAAAAAAACCATTTTAACCACTACTGCTCATTTTCATAGCTATGCTGCAAGGAGACTATCAGTGTAGTCTCTCCATTTTTTGGCAAATCATTTGGAAGTATTTTTTTTTTAAAGCAAATGGTCTCCTCAGCACCCACACCCTCTGCCCTGGTGTGAAAATGATCAAGTTTATCTTTTTTTATTATCCAACCAAAACCTTTGTACAGGTCAGCAGGATTTGGCAATGTGGTATTGATGTTAACATCTACTGCACCTCCAAATTGAGCACAGTGTTGGTGCTTAGAATGTTCTTTTAATCTTAAAACAGCACTGTCACCTCTCCCAACTCCAAAATTAGTATTTGTTAAAGATAGAATCTCTACGAAAAACTGTGTTGGACTGTGTTGGAATTGCATTGAAATTCCAACCCAGTCAAAAGATATACTAGGGACTAAATTAAGCTTGAGATTAGGTGGAGCTGGAGAGAAGCAACACTCGCAAGGGACAGGTCCAGGTAAGTAAATCTCACCTTTGCCTGCTCTGTTGGCCACCGGACCCAGAGCGGCAGGGTCACCGCCGGGGTCTTCGCAAGTAATGCAAATACCCAAAATGGTGACAGATCCGTTTTGAGGGTGATTATACATCATTTTCAATGGCAGATTGCTCTTAAGCCAAACCTGTCAAGTTTATACTATTTTCCTTTCAAAACAAGATCACACAAGTTCGAAGGACAGTTAGGAAATTTGATAAGATATGGGAATCATGGACAAACAGCGACATAACTGATAGCATGTACAATAGTGGCTTGCTCCCTTCCCTCCCCACCCCCCGAGCGTTGCTTTAATCCCCACCACACTGTGTACCTGAGTACCTACTGTCAGAATATGCTTCTAACCTTGAACGTACCTCTTCCAGGTGCCCTAGTTGTTACATGTTTAAGTGTCACAAGAGATGGGACTCCTTATGCATGTTCCCTTTTTTGTACTTTGTTTCGTCTGATAACCCCCTGCATTCAAATGGAATCACTACCTGATAATTGTTCCTTTGTGTTCGGCTATCCGTTCCCATCTGTTCGGTTATTGATCAGACTATGTGTGGTCCCCCTTGTTAAAACCTCGTAATCACCGACCACCCCTGGCTGTTAACCACAAACAAGCAATCACCTCGAGTGCTTTCCTGGGTGGCCGCCATTTGCATATACGAACACATGTGCTATCGGGACTGGCAGCCATCTTGTCTCCCGAACGCAGGCAGCGGTACATGGTCGTCGACGGTATGGATCTCTGATTTGGCTATGCAAGCTCGCGAACCCCGCTGAAACTTGTACCCCCACCTGTTCGACTTCCTGACCTGCTAGGACAACGGTGTCCGGGAGTAAAAAACTACCGAACAAGGGAAGCATTAATTTCTTAAAAGCCAGGGGAGGCGTTTGTCGGTGTACGCACAGGAACCCCCGAAAGTTGACTGGCCAGCCTGACCAATTTTCTGGAACTGTTTTGGGCTACCATTTGTTTGAACCTAACTCACGTTCTACCGAACCAATCTAAGTGCTTTTTGGATATGTTGTGAGCTCAGATTGGGGCTATTCAGGAATATATTTTGTGGGGTTCCTAAAAATCGTTTTCCTATTTGAGAAATAATGGAGTTATCTTAATTGGAGCTCAATCATCTCTCAAACGCAATAGTTTGTGGGAAGGAAACCCCTGTGATTTTGTCTTAGAAACCCCATGCTAGGGGCACTGTATAAAAAGCTGAGTGTGGCCTAATAAAGTCAGATTGCTTCTTCTACCCAATACGATTGGTTGCGTCCATTATATTGGGGAAACTCTACACAACGATAGCACTATCACCATATTCAGCCCATCTGGAATAAGGACAAGTGGAGGATAACAGCAATAGACTAGCGAACCCGAGACAGTAAGTATGGTTGTCTTATGGATATATTGATGTATTGGCTCTGGGCCTGAAAAAAAAAAAGATTTACAGCAAAAATACATATTCTACAGTTATCCCATCTCCCTTAAATAAACAATACAAGGCCACTCCTTTCCCTTTACAACCAGGCGAGAGAGAGATTACACAGAGTCTCGAAGCGAAAGCACATTCAGACTTGTGATAATACCTTTTGTAACTCTATAAGTACTAATCTATGGGCTCTGTTTGTCTTAAAGAAAAGGTCTCGCCCATTCGTTTCAGAGAATAAACTATATCTTTGCAAAACAATACACAAGCAAGTTGCTGAATCGCCCTTGTCGAGTGTATAATCTATTTCTGTAATCAACCAAAGCCATCGAAAAGCCATGTTATGGTAAAAAAAAATCGCTAGACAGGCAAAAAACATTTTCAGTTAGAGATCAGGATAATGTAACAGGATGTGTGTCACTTTATGGCTACCATTCCGTTATGGAATAACATATACATTTTTGGTACAAAATGACAAGTTTGCTCTCATTTTTTTACAAAGTAAAATTTAAAAGTAACAAAAAATGTTTTTATTTTTTATTTATCAAGTCATGCATATCAAAAGACAGGGTGGTCAATTCACAGTTTGTACAATAAAGTACAGTGGGGAAAAAAACAACAACATGAAAAGTAACGTTGTATACATTGCACAGTAATGATAAACATTGGTACCTCAGAGCTTTGTACATATTTTTACGATTTGTGCATACACTGAGCGAACTGGTCTATTGCACATGCATCGTTTATACTCAAAGGCGCAGTAGATGCGCCAAGTCGAGGGTGATTTAGCTTTTATGCTTTGTTATCCAGCTGTGTGCAAATTTATTCTGGGACTATTTGTAGTGCTTCTGTGCCTTTAACTTATTCATGTGTACTATATGCGTGCAGAATTATTACAATTTCACTTAGAAGAAGGTAGAGTCAGATAGAGTGAGAAACAAGGGGGAGACTTTTTTGCAGACTGGCAAGAAGGCACCTGGGACCGCCACGCACCATAACAACTTCACTACAAACAAGTTGTTATGGTGCTTTGGCTGGTCCTTTAAGGCAATTTAAGAGAAAATAAAAATAACATATTGATTAACTTTCAGTCCTTGCCATGTATGTAAGATCGTGCTGTTTTCTAAAAAAAAAAAAAAGAATAAAAATAAATTAAAAATCACAATATGCGTCTAACCTTGAATGTATATCTTCCAGGTACCCTAATTGTTACATGTTTTAGTAAGTGTCATGGGAGATGGGACTCCTCGTACGTGTTCCCTTATTTGTACTTTGTTTCGTCTGATATCCACCTGTATTCTGATGGAATCACTACCTGATAATTGTGTTGGCTATCTGTTCCCTTCTGTTCGGTTACTGAACAGACTATGTGTTCCCCCTTGTTAACACCTCGTAATCACCGACCACTTCTGGCTCTTAACCACAAACAAGCAATCACCTCAAGTGCTTCCTTGGATGGCCACCATTCGCATATACAAACACGTGCTATCAGGACTGGTGGCCATGTTATCTCCCGAACGCAGGCAGCGGTACATGGACTATGCAAGCTCACGAACTCAGCTGAAACTTGTACCCCTGCCCGTTCGACTTCCCGACCTGCTAGGAGAATGGCGTTCAGGAGTAAGAAACTACTGAACAAGGGTAGCTCTAATTTCTTAAAAGCCAGGGGAGGCGTTCATCGGTATACACACAGAGGCCCCCGAAAGTCGACCGGTCAGCCTGTCCAATTTTCTGGAACTGTTTTAGGCTACCACCTCATGGCCATTAAAGGGATCCTATGATGCCTGTTATGGTGCCTAGACTGGTCCTTTAAGGCAATCTGAAAAAATAAATTAAAAAAAACATATTGAATAACTTTTCAGTCCTTAATTAAAGGGACACTATAGTCACCCAGACCACATCATCTTATTGAAGTGGTCTAGGTGCAGTGTCCCTGTTCCCCTATGTCCTGCAATGTAAAACATTGCAGTTTTATAGAAACAGACAGCCACTAGAGGCGCTTGTGGTTGTTTACCAAACTCCAGATCACCTAAATAATATTGATCGTCCTCATGTTCAGCGTCAGTGAAATCCCCATAGGAAAGCATTAAGGTAGGAGAGCCTAATACATAAGAGCCCCCCATCGTCAGAGATGTTATTCCTAACACTATAGAATCCCTTTGCTCCACTTTTTTTCTTACAGTAAATTTAGTTTGTGTGTTTGCCATCAGGCATCATAGTTGCACATCAGAAATCACTTAACATTCTGAAAGTACTACCAAGAGGAAGACCTGTCAAATGGAAAATAGTTATCTTTCCCCTCAAGTCATTGTACTACAATTCCCATCATTCTCTGATCTGCACTTATATTTTCCTTTGCTGCATCGTCTAATTTGTACAGATGCCAGTCTGTGTATACATTCATAACAAACTAATACAGGTCTCCTCTGCAAACAAAAAGGCTCATAACGACTAATAAGGTATAAGTGCAAGGAATAAATACAATCTAGATTTAATGTAGCTATTACTTCCATCCTAAAATAAATAAAGGAAAAGAGACAGCGCCAGACAACCTGTAAGGCAGCAACCCAATAAGGGAATCCCCCCAAAACCCTAAAATACAGGATAAAAGCAAAATATAAAAGGAGGGCTGCGCCAGAATAAACAGTGTCCAGTATCAATAGTTATTGAAGATAAAAAGTCCGACCTAAAAAGGTATCCTCTCTGTCGTCTTTAGGTACAGGAACGCGATCTTCAGGTAATATATAAAAGATAAAAGGAGAGAACAAACGATGGTGCAGAATGTACGGTTCAAATGAAGTAAAAATTGATTAATGATAACGAACTCACAATTTCCAGAGCTTCTGTCCAGCTCTAGGGTAAAGCGCACACAGCGGTATAATCCCCGCTTATGGGATTTATGATGGGTTCGTCAGGGTATCCAAAACTCAAAGGAAACAGAAACAGCCAAATAGTGCTCTCTGTATAACTGTATATTGTAAAAGAGAATAAAAAAAACGTACTTACAAGTACAGAGCAGACCAACTGCTCTTTGATGTCAGCGCTGGTGGAATAATCCCCACCTATGGATTTCTTTGGTTGTCAGGAACTTGTAGAGATAGTATTAAAATCGGAATAGAGTGTATATAAAATATAACAATGAACTAAAACGATAAAACTACTTTTATTTATACATGTACCCTGGCTATTTATCGTTTTAGTTCATTGTTATATTGTTATAAATACACGGTAGCCTCATACTTATTGCAGGTTACCGTAAGGTTATTGCTGAGGCCGAGAGTTGTAGAGAAAAGCTTAAAATAATTTAAAAGGACTCTATAGGCACCAAAACAACTTGTAAACATTAGATGACTCTTTACAGGAAGTGTTTAGGAAGTTTGTGTAAGTCACATGCAGGGAGGTGTGACTAGAGCTGAATAATCAACTCTTAAATGGCAGAGAATTGAGCCAGGGATATGATCTATACAACTAAACTGCTTAATTAAACAAAAGTTGTTCTAGTGACTATAGTGTCCCCAGAACAATGTAGTTGTTCTGGTGAGTATAGTGAGTCCCTGCAGGCTTTTTGCTGTAAACACTGCCTTTTCAGAGGCGGTGTTTACATTGTTCCCTAGGGACACCTCCAGTGGCAGTCACTCAGACAGCCACTAGAGATGCTTCCTGGATCAGTGCTACACGCTCTGCATGAAGCTTTCACCACAGACATGCATTGAGTCAATGCATCGCTATGAGGTGATGCTGATTGGCCAGCTTAGCACTTTGCCGCACATGGGAAACCATTGAATTGGCTAAGAACATAGATTTTTATAATCTCAGCCACGGAGGTAGATCGGGGAGGGGCCAGTGTTGGCAGATCCGTGTGGCTCTTGAATTAAGTTTTCTACTTATTTATGAGGGAAAGGAGGAGCCGGGTAGTTAACTAGTGTTTTAACACTATAGGTTCAGAAATACATGTTTCTATTCCTAACCCTATAGTGTTCCTTTAAGATAAAGTTGTTTTAGTGCTTAGAGTGACACTTTAATAAAAGCTGTGCGCATAGTTTCATGCAGTACAACGTTAAACAGAAACAACCAACAGTGGCACTGCTGATGTTTGTAAATAGCTCTTCCCAGCAGTGGTTAACCATGACCACAGACCTAAGACATTCTTTAGGCACAATTCTAGGTAAATGGACTCATAAATCCTACACCTTGCTTTTGTCTTGCATGAGAGATGTGTGTGATGGAAACAAGCCACAGTTATCATTCCCAGTCATTAAGCAACAGATTGTCATGCATAAACCTTTGACAGTTAAGGTGTTACAAAATATATAAATAAAAAAAACCCTTGGACCTTTTACGAACAAGGCATTTGCGTGCCAGGACTAAAACCATCGAGGAATGATACACTCCGAAAACCAGCAATTACTTATTGCTTCATTTCTTTCAAGTAAATCTAATGACGGTTTGGAAATGTCACTGTTCCGTGATAATTTTATTGGAGTTAAATCTATGGTAGAACAGTCAACGCAATGTTTAATGATACGAAACTCTGGATATTTCTCATACGATTCTCACAGACAAACTACAGGAATTGTACAGCAGAACCGATATCCGGAGACGTTGTGATCTTAATAAATTGCAAGCCTTTGGAACTAAACAAAGTTGCAAGTTCTATAGAGAAGACTTTGGTACTTAGAATAAATGTCAAGTTTTTTAGTAAAGTCTCTGAGATACTAAACATATTGAAACAGTTGGGATATTAAACGTTCTTTAGAAACATGTTTGCAATATAGAATAGATCGCAAGCTCTTTAGGGAAGTGGTTATGATATTTATTAGATAATACGCTCATTAGATGAGACTTCAGGATATGATATCCATTGCAAGTACTGTAGAGAAGACTGTGGGTGTAGAATATATTGCAAACTCTTTAGATATTCTGGGTTTCAGATATTGCATCCATTTAGGATAAATCTCTTCCTTAAATAAACAACAGGTGCTATTTTGGATAATGTACTAAATAAAGAATCTTACCACTTTGCAATTTTGTCCCTGAATTGCTTGTATGTTACCTTGATAAATGTGGCTCTATTCCCCGTTTAGTTCCTCTGCTTTTTTATTATCTGTTAGATAAAGGGGAACAATTACAATTATTTATATAGCTCCAACATACTCTGCAGTGCAGTACAAAATGATCATTTAATTGTAATATAACTTGTATGACATACTGGAATAGTAGTAGAAGAGAGTCATGCTCAAACGAGCTTACAATCTAAATGTAACTGATAGTTTAGATGTATTTATTAAGTTTTCCAACATTTTATTTTTTATTTAGAGGGACACAACAGTCAACAGAACCACTACAGCTTAAAGGGTCACTATAGTCAACAGAACCACTACAGCGACTATAGTCACCAAAACAACCTTAGCTCCTAAATAGCAGAGAATTGAGCTATGAGACATCAGGAACATGATCTATACACCATAACTGCTTCATTGAGCCAAAGTTATTTTGGTGACTATAGTGTCCTTTTAAAGGACCACTATAGTGCCAGGAAAACAAACTCGTTTTGCTGGCACTATAGTATCAATAGGTCCCCCCCACCCTCATGACCCCCCTCCCGCTAAGCTGAAGGGGGGAGGAAGGGGTTAAATCACTTACCTTTCTCCAGCGCCAGGCTCCCTCGGCGCTGGGGACTCTCCTCCTCCTTCCGCCGTCATCGGCTGAATGCGCATGCGCGGCAAGAGCCGCGCGCGCATTCTGTCAGTCCATAGGAAAGCATTCTCAATGCTTTCCTATGGACGCTGGTGTCTTCTCACTGTGAAAATCACAGTGAGAAGCACGGAAGCGCCTCTAGCGGCTGTCAATGAGACAGCCACTAGAGGCTGGATTAACCCATATGTTTAGAGCAGGCAGGGTTAATCCTAGATGGACCTGGCACCCAGACCACTTCATTAAGCTGAAGTGGTCTGGGTGCCTATAGTGGTCCTTTAATATTGAATTTTATTTGTTCACATTTTATATTGTAGTTCTCATGGCATAGTGAGCTAGAGGTCCATTCTTATGGTAAACCTTTAATAAACTGACCGTAACAGTGAAATATAGTGCTTGTTAAGGTACTGGGGGGGAGCTACACTAAAAACATCAGAAGTCTTCTGACTGGTGTTTGGGACTGGGGCAACTGTCCCTCTTGTCCCGGCTGGGGAGAATAAATAAGCTGGTGTTTCCTGACACTTGCTCCTCCAGCAGAGAAGGTTACATTTTAAGGTTAAAAATGTCTGCATGGCTACCTGGTCTACATCAGTGAAAATAATAATTCTGCGTTATGCCTGCCTGGGTGCTCCCTCCTATGTGTGTTTATGGTTTTCCAATTCATGCTCTTGATTTGTTTCCCCTCTGTCTGCTGCAAATCTTCACCTTTGGTCCTTAAAAGTTGCGTGACAAGAGAGTGCTGAGGGAGTTCAGTACATGCACACTGCATAGACAGATGAGCAGCTTGCAATGACATCTGTGAGCAGAGGAAGGGGGGAGAGGAATGGTGGGGGACTCGAGGAGAAGCACAATATGGAATGAAATCGCATGAGTCATCTGTCCTTGTCTAATCTGTTCTGAAATTGTTACCAATTAAGCCCAGGGATCTTGTTCAGTGTTAAAAAGTATCATTTCATCCGAAGCCTTGCTGGTACTCACCCCCTGCCAGGCCATGCAATACATTACGAACCCATACGAGGTGTTTGATGATGGTAATGAGCAGCCATTCCTTCACACTGACAATATCCTAACTCACACAAATCAAGGTGTGCAAAGAATATTTACTCCTTTAATGGGTAACTTTTGTTATCTTTGCTATGACGCAGCATAGATAAATATAGAACACTTTGCCAAGCTGTAATGGCCATAGCTCTTTAGAATAAAAGATTTTTACATCCAACCTGTCTATTGTCAGTGATGATGGTATATTCGTGTGCTGTGCCTGCTCCTCGTTCGGGAGTGCCTACACAAAGGGAATCCATTTGCCTCTTGAACGGGGACCACCTCAATGAACCACTTAGAATGTCGTTTAGAAAGTTCACACTTCGCAACAAGGTGTCAAACCACAAACCGCCACAGAAGCCATCAACTTTTGCCGCCCCTGGGTAGCCGCCATTTCATATAGATGAATGCCAACCAGGGGGAGCATTCACAGATGGTTTCTCACCTTGTTCAGTTCCTGAACGAGGACCTCCCCGGAACCCACTGGAATGTTCACGCCAATCAATTTGAACGTTAACAACTCGCAACATAAGTGTGAAACCGCATGGTAAGTAATTAATAAGTGCTTTCCTGGGGGGCCGCCATTTGTATAAGCGAATGCCACCCAGGGGGAGCATTCGTAGCCCCAAAGGAGATGCTTCTCTTGCCTGCTTTCACACAGGGACCCCGCGAACAGAGGTGGTTCGAGGCAGGTACCATTATGGGGCTCCCTGGGATTGGTGTGGGCATCTTTTGGGAACAATGGCTGGTTTGGTGGGCTTTCTGTAACTGGGAGTCAAGAGGTGGGAAGCTTTCGCGCCCTGTGACTTCTAGGTGCAGAGGCTCATGGGATGAGGACCCTATATTTGGGTGGTGGGAACAGGGGACAAAGGGGCTCCTGGGAAGAAGACCCCTGTCATCAGAAGTGGAAAGCCCCATGGTTGGGTGGCGGGAACACGAGACAAAGGGACTGGAGTTCCGTTCCCGCAATATGACCCTTTAGAGGGGACACTGTCATTGTGTGGTGTACACCCCTTACATGTGGCAAATAAAGGGTTGTCGTACCTCCAAAACGGTGTCTCATCCAGTTACTGGGGGAAAATGGGTCTCTTTACACTTTACATGGTCCCTGTTCGGCAGAAGGAAGGTGTGGCGGACCGCCTGGCACCCTAACTGGGTGCCTCCACCAATCGATGCTCCCTAGTGCTCACCGAGTACTCCAAGCACTCCACCAGACACCATAACCACCATAAACCCCACAGCCAGCGTTACAGCTTGGTTTGGGTCTCGCTGTCCTCCACCCACCATGGACCCAAGACCAGGATCCAGCTTCCAGTGGGTAGACCTCTCCTATTCCAGAGAATAAAGCAGAATAGCTCCTACAAGACCTAGTGATTATACACCAAGGGAGCATAATGAGTATAGCAATCCCCAAAGTGAATATAGCTGTTCCCTCCACACATGAGACAAGGCTCTATGTTGAGGGTGAAAAGGAACTGGTTTAATGTGATCCACATGCAGCCTTATATGCAACTCCCCATGCAAGGGGTTTCCGGATACATATTCCAGGGGCATTCCCCTCTGGTCCTGAGAGGAGGCTACAGTAAAACATACACATAATTACATTGGCTCTCAGGTCCAGGACACTCCCACACAAAACAGGGTAGTTCCCCTCGGCCTGGGAGATAATTGAGTCAGGAACTGTACTAAACTCAATTATCTCCAGGCACAGAAAACATATATTTTAACAACATCCCGAAAGTACCCCCAAAACACATGGATGAACTGGGGGACCAACATATCCCAAAATCACCCAGATCGGTTCAGGGGTTCGGGATTTCCATGGAAGTCATCATTTTGACTGACCGTGCACATGGTCTTATGCCCAAAACAGTTCTAGAGAATTAGGGCTAACTGTCGGTCTCTATTTCCGGAGTACAAAAGTACATAACTCACACGATTGGAGCCTTTTAAAGTGCTTTGGGCAAGGTATATTGCATGACCCATGAGGCAGGAGGCTGGCAAGCAGGCTCCTCCAGGAGCCCGTGGCGAGGTTCTGTTCACCACAGAAGAGAATTAGCGGAGGTAACCGGGCGGTCCTCTACAGGCGTCAACAGCAACATTCTGACCAATAACACTACACTAGTGCATATTTAGCATCCGGGTTCAAACTGATTAATTACCCTATTGTAGTTCCTCTATCACAGAGGGAATTCCTTGTGTTATTGGCTTACATGGTTTCTGACTTTAGCTCGTTTCACTACTCTTGATCTCTGAGATCAGATTATTTCTCATATTTGTGCCTTCCGGTGCTCCTTTGACCTTAGCCTGTTTATGTTTACTCTGTGTCTGCTTGCAGAAATTCTGTTTATTATATTTGCTTTATTGCTAGCTCAGCCATTCTAAGGACTGCTGTACATGTTTGTCTGTCATAATTTTACATGGGTTTGTGTGTTAGGGCTAAGTTAGACTTGACATCCAGAGAGGAGACCATTTGGTTCACTATCGGGGGGTTCCAGAGAGGTGTATGGTGTCAGAATACATCATCAGTGAGGATCTACAAAGGTGACCAGTTCCAGAAGCACCACTACACATAATCCAAATTCAGATTACCTTTTCCAGAAGATACTATAAGCTATGGTACAGAGAGGTGACTAGTTCTAGAAAAAAATGTTAACGGGGGTCCAGGGAGGTGACCAGTTCCAGAAAACACCACCAGTGGTAATCCCGAGAAGTAACTATTCCAGAAGACAACAACAGCAGGAATCCATAGATAGCTACAGTTCAGGAACTCTATAGAATTGGCTACTGCAAGAGCCATAATAGAATTATGGGAAAACTGACTGGAAGTAATGTTTAATCAGTGTAATCAAATGTTAAACTAAGAGTCCTAACAATCACATCCGCTGCGTAGCACATCCCACACCAAGGTTCACAACCACCTTGACATTCAAAGGGTGAGTGGGAATGGTAAAAGACTGTCTGGAGACATTGGCAAATTGGATGTGGAAAGATGTGAAAGGATTCTCTCTGGTTGGAGGGATAGATTGGTAGATTGGGTAAGAAAAGGATGGAGGAGTTGCATGAAGAACATTATTATTTTCTTATTTTCGGCAGAATATTGGTTCGGCTCTACAGAGTTTTGGAGCCATGGGCGGGATCCAGAACCCCCAACCCTGAACCAAACTCTTTCGGCATTGCACATACTAGATACTCTTTAATTCGGGAACATTTTGTCTTGGAGTTCAGGAATTCAGATGAACACCCGAATAGCACCAGTTCTTCCGAATTGCAATTCTCCAAAGTCTACGCATTACCTTATATAAAGATGAAAGCTTAACAGAGATAACATTGTTTGAATATTAGGTGGTGGTTCAGGGAGCAGCGTACGGGCTGCCAAACAGCAACCCACATCTACGAGAAGAAACTAGAATCCTTTAGACTAATAGAATAACCTGATAACAAAAACAATATCGGTGGTTACTCTCACCCCTCACCCCCCACTGCCCAAACAATGAGAGAGGAAGTCTCCCATCTGAGGCAGACCTTACCCCTGCACAGGATGCAGGACAGTTTAAGTTTCCCCTACCCAAGTTCCACTCCCCTGTTACATCCTAGGGCACTACACTCAACGCTACGTGTAAACATCAGGTACAACATTCCGACACAAGCACACACATTATGAGGCACAAAAGCCCATAGGACTCTGGCCCATCCCGGACATCCACAACACACTTGTTCAGATCTGTTGGGACAGCAGACATCCCCCATAAAGCAAAATCAACACACACACCTAAAATGACGGGAACAACATTCAAAATATACTGATTAAATGTGAAGGGGCTCAATAGTCCACTTAAACAACACCTAGCAGTCTAAACTATGCATAAATCCGAAGCTGTCATTATATGCCTTCAGGAGACCAATTTCTGCAGCCGCAAACCCTCCCAAATCCGCTCCAATCAATATCCCCAAGCATTCCATGCGTATTCTCCACACAAATCCAGAGGGGTCGCCATATTTTTCCATAGGGATTGGCTGTTCCAGGAAGACTTTTAATATTGATTGGTAGCCTCAACGGCATGCAGATCACCATTGTGTCACTGTACGCACCAAACGAAGCCCAAATTCCCTTCATTTGCAAAGCCATGAAACAAATAAAATCCATAAAACAGGGCCATACCATAATATGTGGGGACTTCAACTGCACATTAGACCTGGTCTTAGATATTAAAAGAGAACTTAACAAACCACCTACCCCGCACGCTATCTCAAACTGTACTGAATTTAGCAAAATCCTCTTCTCCAACAATCTATATGACACTTGGAGATCCACATACCCAACAGAGAAAGACTACACTTACCTTTCGCAGGTGCATAGGACATACACTAGTATCGATCTATGTCTGGTAGATAAAGTCACTTTGTCCAACATTGATGAGGTACAGATAGGGCAACGCACATGGTCAGATCATGCCCCACTGATCATCACATTTCAAGCTCTATATCAGGCAAGAGGCAGAGGTAAATGGAGACTCAATGAGGGCCTACTAGACAACACTAAAGTGCTAGACATAATTCTCAAGGAAGTATCCGAATACTTTTTGCACAACATGACAGACTCCATGCCAATACAAACTGTATGGACAGCACATAAAGCGGTCATGCGCGGAGTATTTATTAGGGAAGGATCAAAACAGAAACAATATACAAACGAAAACTATAAAACGCTACTGACAAAACTACAATCCCTGGAAACGCTAAATAAAGCCAACCCGACTAAAACCATAACTACACAAATTAATGAGATCCAGAAGAAAATGCAAGCACTAGATCTTGTAACAACTGAGAGATGGATTGGATCCCTAAAACTAAAACACTACACTCACGGCAATAAAGCAGGAAAGGCACTAGCTAATAGACTCAAAACTAAACAACTGCAATCCAAAATCCCGTACATAGACTCCTCAACGAAAGGTAAACTA